ATTCCACAGTCAATTCTTAAGATGGTGTCGATGCAAACGCCATTGTGTATTGCTAAGATTGATTATACATTACAAAAAATAGGTTTTCCACCATATGTCCTAAAAACATCCGGATTAATAAAAAATACTGAGTTCAACATAAAGACTTTCCAATACGAAGTTACAATTTCAATCGATGGAGGCACAGTCACAGAACTTCGAACGTCAAAAAAAATGTACCCTAATGGCTTTGATATTTCAATTCAACCCGAAAATGTAAAGGTTGAATCACTTCTAAATAGCAATGAAAATGTTCGTATTATTGTCCCAAATGGCACAGAAACATTATATATCAAGGTCACGAAAAATACCGAGGGAGCTCAGAATACATTTAAAGGAGAAAAAATTGCACTTACCAAGGAAATTGTCCCTATTTTGATATTACCCTTGAAAGAGTCCAGCAGCCACGAGAAAGAAAATATAAATCACGGCAAAGCGGCGCAAACAAGTCATAGATATTTTGCTTTAAACAATGGTTTAAATAATCAAATAAACGGTAAGATATGTCATTTTTCGACGCATATTAGTGACAAGAATCGACTGAAATTTTTTAGTTGACTAGTCGTACAATATATAAAGTAAATGCGACAATTTATTAGTCAACCAATCAGCCTATACATTTATTATAAATATAATCTTGAAATATTTCAAGAAATTTGGTCTCAATTATGTTTCGATTATATAATCTATCACAGATGATTATTATTTGTCGATTTTTAGTCGGTTAATAAAATTTAGTCGAATGGTTTGATTTTAGTCGACTTAGTCGATTTCTATCATTAATAATATTATCATATTTAAGTAATATTAATTGAATCTTTAAATTTTAGATCAAAATAAACATGAAGAGGTATTTTTAGATCAAAATAAATCACAACAAAATAAACATGAAGAGGTATTTTTAGATCAAGATAAATCTGAACATGAAGAGATATTTTTAGATCAAAATAAATCACAACAAAATGAACATGAAGGGGTATTTTTAGATCAAAATAAATTACAACTAAATGAAGAGGTATTCTTAGATCAAAATAAATTACAACAAAATAATGAAGAGATATTTTTAGATCAAAATAAATTACAACAAAATAATGAAGAGGTTAAATTTTTTTTATTGTTTATTTGGTTATTTCAAGATTGTTTAAACTTACTTTTTCTTCAATTGAATTTAATATATACAGGTTACTATTCCTGTTTCTGTACAAACTGATCGCAGTTTTTATATTCCACCACTACGAAATTATCCACCTGCAACTGAGTTAACAAAAAATAGTACTAAAGGATTTAATATCCGAGAAATTATAGTAATAGTTTCTTTGGTAATATGTGCTTATTATTCTGGAAAATTAAGCTCATTTAAAATCTGAATTCTAATATTATTTTTATAAAAATCTATATATATATTAAAAATAAATTAGATATTTAATAAAATAATTTATTTTAAATATAGTAACATTATTTTAAGGATATACTGTTATTTATTAATAGAATATTTAAGTGCAACTATATATTTATATATACAATTTTTTTTTTTTTTTTATTCTTTGACAAGTTTTGCTGTGACTTGATTTCTTAGTTTAAGTATATATAAATCATATACAATTATTTCTAAGACTAAATAAGAGTCCAACCTCACCCGGTTGTCTATTCAGGTATCTAGGTGCAAGCTATCGCACTGGCTCATGGATGTGCCAGAAAATAGTTTTTTTTATGAACTTGTCCAAAAGAGATTTACACCCTTTTGTATCCAATTTGAGACTGCATCACCTCATATTGTATATAATTTCATTTCTTTTGCTGTAATTTCTCTTCTTTTTCCTTTAATATTCTTTCTTCTCAGCCTAGAGATGGAGATTATGTTCTTTTTTGGCTTAGGAACTTTAACTTTCTTCTTTCTTTTATCACGTCTGTTTATATTATGAGCTTTTTCTCAATCTGCAAGTTTGCTGTATTTATTCTTTCAGATAAAGTCGTAGAAACCGTTCCAAATTATGTGAGCTATAATCTCGATTGTTCTTGAGGTTGTTTTTGGTGATTCTAGGAGATTCTTGATTTTCTCGAAAGAGTTTACTGTGGTTAGACCTTTGATCCATAACCTACGCTTTTCTTGTTTATCAGTTTCTGTCTCTCCGATTAGGATTTTGTAGAAGAAGGTTTTCAGACACTTAAATCTTTCCTCTGCTGTAAGTTTCAACCATTCTAAGTCAATTGTTTTATCTTTAATGTCTTGTCACATCTCTTTGTAGTAAAAACATTTGGTTAGATGATCTTGCATTTTAACAATATTACTATTACACACTATACAGTTATCACTAGTGTATATATCGGGTCTTCTTGTTGAAAGCATCTGCAGAACTGGGAGATTTTTTGAAAGGCATTTAAGTTGTATAGCAAGTCACTTGCTTTTTTGTAATGAATCACATCTTGCTCCCTTTAATCTTGACATTCTTTTCCAATATATATGCTAGTCTAGTTTAGGATTATTCGAATCAGATTCTAGAACTAATATCAATTCTGTTAATTTCCAGTTTGTGCCGTTTCAGATTTTAAAAAGTTTCTTTAGAAATGGTCTAGTTGCTTTTTCAATTCTATACTCTTCCTAGTAGAGTGGGAATGTAATTTTTGTATTTATGTCTACATGTATATCTGTTATATATAATAATGCTGTGGCTTTTTTTGCTAAAGTATCTGCTTTATCATTCCACTTATTGTTGCTATAACCTTTAATCTTTTGAAGATCTAGAACAATATCTTTAGCTTTGATAAGATCAGTGATCTTGATTAGAATATCCCAGTTCTTCTCCTTGTAAACTCTATTGAATCTCCATTCTGTTTTTGTTTTGTTTATACTTGCAATTGCTACTGCACTGTCCGAGAAAATACATACATTACCCCCCTATTAGAATAGTAAAAAGAGCTAACCAGATTGCAATGAGCTTGGGCTTTGTTGATGACGGCCAATTAACTAATTTAGCATATTCCTCCTATAATAACTGAACTTGCTTCTCATCTATTTGTACCCAACCAATTCCTATACTACTAAACTCTTCTTCTTGAATTAATGAACTATCTGTAAATATCCAAAATCTACTTCTACCACTACTATTATTAAAGTTTAAATTATTACTCAAATTATCCAACAAGATTATATCAAAATTCTGATCCAAAATTAGCTGCTTGTCCAATGGTTTAATAAAGATTTCACTATTAAGTATTTCTTCTTCTTTTCTAGGTTTGAGTGCAGTATTTTTAATAGTTTTGTATGGGAGAATGTCTTTGTATCTAGGGATATACTTTTGATTGACCTTTTGTAGCAGTTTAGAGATCACCATGTATACACTACTTTGGCTAATCTATTTAAGCTCTTTATTCTGTTCTGTTAAAAGTGCTTCACTGGGCTTTTTTAATAATCTTTCTCGTTTCTAAATTATCATTTTCCTTATCTATCAAAATTCATTCTTTTTTCCTTTTGTCAGAAGAGATTGGTACAAGTGGCATCTTTTGCGGCAGATTATTCGGGTCTGCTGCATGCTGAGTTATCTTGACTTCTCTATTTTCTAGGTCTTGTAGCAAGATCTTTTCTAATGATGCAAACCATGTAGCTTTTTTATCTACTCTGGTTTTGCCTTTTGCTATTTTGAGTTGCTGCCAAGTTAAGAGTTTTTTCCCTTCTCTGTCTAAGAGCTGATTATGGAAGATAATACCAAGATTAAGTATATTTTTTGCTGCTTTTATAAAAAGAGAAATTCTTTAATAAGTGGGCCCAAATTTTGAAAATACTATTGTTCTGTTATAGGTCTAATATTTATACCAAATTCTTTTGCTTTGCATAAAGTCAAACATGTTGTATTGTTTCTCTATATCAAGTTCAGATCTGTGTTTGGTTCAAAAAACTAATTATTATCGATAATGTTTGCAACTAAAAAACTTTGTTTGATATGTATTTTTGCTAATTGACCATCTCTGTCTGTACTATTTAATCTGTAGTGCAGGTCAGTTATTTGCTGTATCAAGAGTTCTTGTCAAAGAAATTTGCAATTTTCTAAATTTCTGTGTACTAATAGAAAATTGCTTGTTGTACAAGGCAAATCTATTCTATTTTTTATAAGCCTAACCATTAGTTGATGTAATGATTCCAAAGTGGTCTTGGATAGGCTGGTTGCTTGCAACATGTAGCAAAGTTTGGGGATCAAATACATATTATTTAAGTAAATTAGTTGACTTAACATGAGCTTCTTGTTTTTAATCGTTTTTATTGTCAGTTGGATGAGGTGATTGACCTTTCTTTTTAATAACATATCTTGCTTTTTGCCACTCAAGCCTATTCCTAAAAATCTTGTAAGCATTTTACTTTTCTTTGCTTCGACTTTTTTGTTTGCTAAAAGTATATTTTTGCTATTTGCTATTATTGCTAAGCTGACTACTATTAATTTTAACTTTTTAGAGTTGACTCTAATATTGTTTATGATATAGAATTCCTCTGCAATTTTAAGTATTAACTCTAGCTGAACTTTGCTCTTAGCTATCCATGCTGTGTCATTCGTGTATGCTATAGCTGCTTGACAAAAATTTGTTTTCAGAAAAGAATTGTTTTGGAGATCAAATAGTTCTTTTAAGTTAACCGTATAGCCTAGATTCTTATTGCTTTGTATCCTATATATTAAAGGATCATAGAATATTCTCCATATGAATGAAGAAAGAACTTCTTCTTGTTTGTTTTTTGTGGAGCCTAGCACTGTTAAAATTTTTGTTTTTTGATTTTCAAATAGATTTATAATGAAATCTATTAAAATACTTGAAATTTTAACTCTTTTCATTACTAGTCTTAGTATTTGAAGAGAAACTGAATCAAACGCTTTCTACATGTCGTGAAATAGAAGCTATAATTCTTTTTTTGTTTCTTAGCATCTTCAATAATACTACTTAGTATGTATATTGGTTTGGACGTTGAATCTCCAGGCAGGCCTGCGAAGTTTGGTCCTTTAAGAACTGAGTTTTTTGTCATAATTTCTGATAGATGAGTTGCAAGAATCTTCATTACACACTTGTGAAAAGTTTCTAATAGTGCAATTGGTCTTAGGGAGCTTAATGTACTATCCTATTCAGATGATTTTGGTATAGGATAAATTTGGCTACATTTTCATTTGTTTAGAATTTTACCAGTTTTTAAACAAAAAGATCCAAATTTTCTAAAAATTTTATGTGTAGCATTGTTTGTCTTTTTAATCAAAATATAACTAATTCCTGTAATGCCTGGTACTATATTGTTCTTGAGCTCATTAAGCATTTTTTGCCATTCCCCTTCTAAAATATCATTTTCTAAATTTATATACCAGGCATTATTTATACTTAATTGTAGTTCATAGATCTTTATCCACTCTTCTGATAAGAGATTCAAATTTGGATAGCTATTATTGTATTGGCTCTGAAAGAAGGTATAAGTTTTAGATAAAATGTCTTTTGGATTCGTATATAACTAAAAATCATTGTCTATTTTCTCTATAACTTTATCTAGTTTAGCTTTCGAGTATGGCTTATTTAGTATACTTTTGAGTATCTTTCCTTGTTCGTCATGGATCATTAAGTATCAGCGGTCTGTAAACTCTTTGATTTTCTCCTTTTTATGTTTCTCTAATGTTGCCAACTATTTTTTATTAAACAGATAGAGCCATTCCTTCATGTCTTGTACCCATTCTTCTATTGTTACCTCTTCATCTAACATTATGTTTGTTTTATGTCTATAATTTATCTTGTAGAGTAAAGATTTAATTTTTTGTAATCTTCTAAGTGAGACTACAGTACAGTCAACTCTCTCTAAATGCAATTCGCACAGACTATATAGAAATTTTAAAAAAATCTTGCATTTATGGAGGTATTGCATTTAGGGAGGTAAAAATCTATAAGTGTATATATAGTAAAGACACAGCAAGGCTATGCATTTATAGAGGTTTTTCATAGAATATGCATTTAGGAAGGTTGCATTTATAGAGGTCTGACTGTAGTAGCTTTTTGATCTTTATTTCTTTTGCTAATCTTTTAAACTCTTGGCAAATTTTGCTTATACTAATAGTGTCTTCATGAAGAGGTGTCATTGTTCTTTTTGTTTTTCATATTATACCTTTTGACAAGTTTGGTATCTTCTTATATAGAATATTTAATTTAGCTATGTATAATATTCCTTGTTTGAAGGATGTCCATATGTTATCTATATCTTGCTGGGAGATTTCATCAGTATTTTTGTTAAGCGTATTTATTGATGTTGAACATTTACTGAGAAAGAAATGCAAAAAGGCTCTATAGTCTTTCCAGTTCTCATTCGTGGCTTTGTCATATAAAAAATTTAAGTGCAAGCCTTCAGCTTGATTAG